CCGGCGAGGAGCCGGCTGGAGACGGAGGAGATCCGGCAGCGGGGTCGGGCGGTGAGGCGACGGCGATCGGCGCCGGCGGGAGGCGCGCGGAGGCGGCGGGAGCCAGGCGCGTGGCGGCGCGGCTCGGGCCTCGGGGGCCTGGCACGGGCCCGAGCGGGCTGGACGGCGGCACGAGCGGTGGGTGCCACGTGGTGTGCCCCGATTGGCGCGGGCGGCGGCGGCGGTTTCGTCCGGCGGGCGCGGACATGTCCGACGGGCGAGAGGGAGGTGGAGACTAGAGTTTCGCCCGAATTTCGGAGAGGGAGTGGTCTTTTATAGGTAGGGGGAGCTAGGAGAGTCCAAATGGAGCACGGTTTTCGCCCACACGATCGTCATCGAACAGCCGAAAGCATGGAGGGGGTTAGGATGGGTTTTGGGCCACTTTGGAGGGGTGTTGGGCTGCAACACAAAGAGGGCTTTTACGGTTACTCGGTTAACCGTAGGAGTATCAAACGACCTCCAAATGGCACGAAACTTGACAGGCGATCTACCGGTGCTATACCAAGGCCGCTTGGCAAACCTCGGGCCATTCCGAGAAAGTTCAACACCCGATCACAACAGGAGACAAAAGGGGAACGTCGGAGGACATAGGAGTGTCGGATTGCAAAACGGACAACGGGGAAAATGCTCGGATGCATGAGACGAACACGTATGCAATGCAATGCAATGCACATGATGACACAATGCAAATGATGACATGATAAAATGCAACACGCAAATAACTAGCAGACACCTAGCGTATCGAATCCGGGGCGTTACAAGCTCGCTTATGTGAAAGAAGAACCACATTGTCTAGTACGCCATGCATCTTAACCTCATCTAAAACATAAACCAATACTCAATAACAAAATTTGTGAACCAACTTGTGATTGAATGGTTAGAAGGATAGTGATATTCTCATTCCGTCAGAGTTCAATCCTTAGGCTTGACCATAGTGCTCGTATTTTCCTGGACTTATTTCAGACCTTCTGACGATGTGTGTTTAGTGGAAGAAGACGTTCCCGTCGACTACGAAGCCGTGTGTGTTGACTACGTCAATCTCATGATAATATGTCGGCTCGGTCTCTCGAAGATGCTCATAAGGATAGGATGTGCGTGTCTACGTTTATAGGGATGAGTGTATGTGTGTAGTGTATGCATGAGCGTCTCCGTCTGTATTATTTCAAAAAAAAACTGAAACATCAGTCACCATTACTAGTTCATTATATTTTGGGACCAAGGTAGTACCATCCTTAGCTCAATTATGCAAGAAAAAGAACCGCGTTATTAAGTATACACCCTTTATCTTAGCCTCACCTGAAACATAAACCAACACGAACTTAAAAAACATAAATCAACACTAAAAAAACTGAAAAATGAACCACCACTAGCTCAATTATATGTCAAAAAGGAACCTTTGTGTTAAAAAAAAGGTTATTGCATTCAACCAATTAGAGAAAAGGGCCAGATAATTGTTCAGGATATTAAAAAATGAGATCCATGGGCACTGGCACCCAGAAGATAATTTTATAGAAGCCCACCTGGGGTGAGAAACCAAAAATTCGCTCTCGATGAGATTCGAACTCTGGCCGCAGGGTGCACCACCGTGACCCTTTGCCACCAGGCTATAGCCTAGTTCTCATTGTTCAATATATTGAACAAACCAACACAAATTTCAAAATAAATAAATAAACCAACACTTAAAACACTGAAAAATAAACCACCACTAGCTCACTTATATGTCAAAAAAGAATCGTTGTGTTAAAAAACACGTTGTTAGCCTCACCTGAAACATAAACCAACACTAAAATATTGAAAAATGAACCACCACTAGCTCAGTTACATGTCAAAAAAGAACCGTTGTGTTTAAAAAAAGATCACTGCATTCAACCAATTAGAAAAAAAAAAGGACTAGATTATTGTTCGGAATATTACGAAATGAGATGAATGGGCACCGGCATCCAGGACATAATTTTATAGAAGAAGCCCACGTGGGATGAGAAACCAAAAATTCGCTCTTGACAAGATTCAAACTCTGGCCGCAGGGTGCACCACTGTGACCCTTTGCCACTAGGCTACAACCTAGTTCTCATTGTTCAAGATATTGAACCCACCAACACAAATTCAAAATAAATAAATAAACCAACACTTAAAACACTGAAAAATGAACCACCACTAGCTCAGTTATATGTCAAGAAGGAACCGTTATATTAAAAAAAAAGGTTATTGCATTCAACCAACTAGGAAAAAATGACCGGATTATTGTTCGGGATATTGAACCCGACGTGAATCGAACACGCAACCTTCTGATCTGGAGTCAGACGCGCTACCATTGCGCCACGGATCCGGTACGTAAGTGCACGTAAATTGCCTTTGTTATTGAATAATCTGAAGGGTCTCGTCCTCTTTTTTCCATTAACACTCCGCCGCTGGAGTGACCGCCGCGTAATGAAGTTCTATTCCATTCCATGTTCTCACACCACGAGCAACAACCGTCGCTCTTATTGGAGCTTTGAGGTTCCAGAGTAGTGCAGTATATTTTTCATACATGAGCGGCAGATTCGAGGCTTACAATAGTGCAGAGCAACATAAGATTTCAGAGCGAGAGCAAAAGTGTCCAGGCTACAGATGGACGAGGGATGACATTGAAGCCCACCTTGCCTTTCAGTGAGCCCCATTTTACTGAAGAGCAGACAATGACTGCCTCCTCATTCATCTCCACCGTTGTGGTGTTGCTCCAGGAACTAGCTCAAGTTTTCCGCAAAAAAAATTCAAGTAGTGCAGATTTCAATACAGACTGAAGCGGCAACAAGTTTCAGACTTGGCACTCTCCTGCTCAGGTGGTTCCAACCCAGTAAGTCTCAGGCTTTCAGTTCATAGCCCCCTTCCCATCTAATGGATGGATGGAATTAGGTTTCGTTTGATACGAATTGTTGTGGTTATCTGGGAAGAGCCTATTCGCTCATCCAGAAGCTGGTATCCCACGAACTCAATCTAATTCCACCCATCAGACCCACGATGCACATGAAACAAGTGTCACCACCGTGTCAGACGCACACCACAAAGAACTTGGCAGCGTCAGACACGTCGGCGTGGTAGCAGCCGGTCCATGCACAGCTTAAATGCGCGCCATTAAACTGCGCAACAGAGCAGCTCGCAGCTGCATTGATGCCGGGCCCAGCTTGACCAGAGTTGTTGTACCAGTACATTAACCGAACCAAAGAGGCGCGGCAGAGCAGAGCAGAGCAGAATATACACGGATATATTCGGTCGCGCTCAGGATTTCAGAAGAGTTTCAGCGGAGCAGTGTTACAGTATATATAAACATAAAGTATGTCCACGGGAAGCGACGTCGTCCTCCTTCGGCCGGCCTCTACCCCGGCTGCTCTTCTGCGGCGGCGCAATAACTGCATTGCTGCGACGCCCAGCGGCGCGGCGATGAGGGGCATAAATACGTGCCAGGTGGGAATCGATCGATCGATCGATCACACACTGTCTGCTAGTGGGCACATCTACTACGCCTCGTCTTCTTCGTGTTCGCTGGCTGCACGCATGCACGCACAAGGGTTCCATGTGAGCCGACGTATCTCCACTCCACTGTTATTTATGATCGCTTGCCCTTGCACGCGCATCAGTCTCCTCTCTGACTCTGAAGCGTGCATGCGTACGTGTGTGTGTATATAAGCAAGCGCTCGCGAGCATCGCCTAGCTATCTTAGCTTGCTCAGTCTCGCTGTCTGCTCTCTGGCTTCCTCAGTTCCTGCTGTGGTGCTAGCCGGTTTAATGAGGAGGCCTGCTGGCGTGGGAGCTCGGTGGGCGCCGGCGCTGGCCCTTGCGCTGGCCATGGCATTGGCGTCGTGCTCGTGCGTGACCCATGGCGCCAGAACCACACCAAGTAAGCCAGCCAGTCGATCGTTGCGTCGCGTGGACACGCCACTGCGTGCGTAGGACTCTTGCTACTTACCAGCAGCTGACATGGCGCATGTGGCAATTGACACGTTACGTGCACTATGCAGGTTCAGGCGCCGACGGCCTACGACCTGGCCGTGAGGCGACGCCGTCCGGAACCGCAGGCCGGGACGACAACGACGGAGGGCAGGCGGCATCACCGTCCCATCAGGAGAAGCGGGGCCAGGCGACGCGGGAGGGGGAGGAGGAGCAAGGGATGATGACGCTCAAGGAGCGAGCGGTGACGGGGTCGCGGCTGCCGGACTGCGCGCACGCGTGCGGGGCGTGCGCCCCGTGCAAGCGGGTCATGGTCAGCTTCCGGTGCGCCGAGGCCTCCGAGTCGTGCCCCATCGCCTACCGCTGCATGTGCCGCGGCAGGTTCTTCCGCGTCCCCACCCTCTAGCTCGCCGTGCTCTCAACGTACCCCGGTCGCGCCACTACTTTTACCTTGTGATTTTGCTCTTGTTTGGTGTTGGCGTGATGCTTGTGGACCGTTTGTTCCTCGAGTGTTGTAAGTATGTAGTAAAAGTTAATGTGCTGCGACATATCACTCTCTTCTTTTGAAGAAAAAAAGAACAAGTAGACGATGACTGATCACGGGTTAGCGGTCATAAGGATTTGGACGCGGCTAGGGAACGGCCAGGTGCTCCCTAGCATCCCGTGGCGGCCTGTCATAAAAAAAAAATTTGGTCCCCCCTGACAAAAAGGAAAACTAGCCAGTCCACGCCACAACGCGCTCTCCTCACCTGGTCTGCGCCTCCCCTCACGTGCTTCCGCTCCCTCCCAAAATCGCCCCCTTCTCCTGACGATACCTAACCCCTTCCCCCGTGTACCCATCTTCTTCTCCATCAAGTTAGGGTTTTCTCTTCCCAAGATCCAGAAAGCTTCCTTATTCCTGCAATGGCGGCATAAGGGCTAGTCAGCAGATCCAAACTGACGGACAAAACTCACAACAGAAGAAAAAAATCAATCACATGAGGCCAGGTTTGCTCAACTCTTCCATCTAAAAAACTGTAGAAAACTATTCCCTGAATTCTTTTGACTCTTTTCTTCACTTTCTTTCTAGTTTATACACAAAAGCTATGCTGCATCTCCCTTTCTCATGTGGATTACTGAAAAAAGCATCTGATGTGGTTATTTCTTAAGCAAAAAATCCTTCCCAAAATCCTATGGTTTTAAGCAAAAACTGCTACAGTTTTTAACAAATAAAAAAGCATGGTTATTTAGTGTGAAAAAAGTTGTGGTTCATATCAGTAACCATATGATCTGGGCAAGACACCAATGCTAATAGCAGTGTTGTAAGAAAATCGTTTACCAGTTTTACGCAACTATCATGGCTGTGTTAAGCAATTGATGGGTTTTGGGAATCAAAGTAAATCAAGCAGGTTATGACTGCTATGTTGACTTCACACAGCCAATGCAGCTATGACTAAGCAACCTGAGTAACTGCAGGTGCTGGTGAATGAAATAAAAAACCTACTATTATAAACAATTTACATGCTTGTTTTAGGCAAGTAGTGTGTTGGTTTGAAGCAAAAACTGGTAAAATTTGGTGCAACATAAAGAGAAAGCATGGTAGATGTTAAAAAGAACTGATAAAAAACTATGTGCAACTTGTGTCTTCAGAATGAAAAGGAAAAAAATAGATTGCCTTGGGGAATTGACTGAACATTACCTTGGGAGATTGACTGAACATTGTTTCCTATCAATTGTACTTCCCGGCAAGAAATTTAGGTTGCCCCTGCAAAAAAGGGTTCATCCACGGAAGAAACACAAGAAAAGACACATGAACCCTTGGGGGCTCCAACGCGTTTAAGATAGTTCAGCAAGCAAAAAGGAAAAAAAGGCCAGAAACACATCATGCTCCTGATGTTGCTGGTACGAATTGCATACTAACGAAGTACTGAACATTAGTTTCTAATACTCTCAAGTCTCTAATACTCTCGATGCTAAAAATACTTCAAAGATAGAAGGCATCCTGTTCCCATGAAAAAAGCTTGCTTCGTCGGGCCTTGGAAATGCACGGAAATCAGTTGTATCTGCAGCCATTTAGAAAAAAGAACAAAAAAACATCGATCATTATAACTACTGAAAAACCAGTTTTCCTGTAGGCAACTATTGTCAATGCAGCAGTTGCCTAAAAAGCAATCGTAGGAAAAAATCTTCTTTATTGACAACAATTGCCTGAAACAAAAATCATATGCGGCTATTGTAATTTTTTTGGGGAAAAAGGTCATTTAGAAACTTTGGCTACTCCTCATATACTTGAAAAAGGAAAACTTGGATATGCTTTCATGTTGCGTTCGCGATTAAAAAAATCATATACTTGTTGTTACTAAAAATATTGCCTATGTACAGTGTGTTAGTTGCTTGCCTCATTCAACTAAACTTGCTCGCTTCTCTGTTTTGAAAAAATGTGCAGGCTGGATATGATTGACCTAAATGAGCTGCCAGAAGACAATAACCCTGAATTGCAAATTCCTGCTAACAATGATATTGGAGATCCTGCATTTTACACACAGCAGGGCATCCGCGCAGGTGATGGTGAGCATGCTGAGTTCGTTGCGGAATCTCCTAATCCTATGGTCATGCAAAATATTGGCAAAACTGTGGCAGAAGAAATGGATACACGTGGGCACTCCCTTAATGTAGGGGGGACCGCAGGTGGTAGAACTAACCCTGGAACAGAAGCAGCGGAGATAGATGCACGCACCCTTGATGGCACAGGTGCTGCAGATGATACTGGAGGGACTGTTGGAAATGAATTGATAGGCTTGGTGGGTGAGAACGATGATGAAGCTTGGTCACATCCTAGGGAACCTTATTTAGGCATGAGGTTTGACACTTTGGAAGGCGCCAAAGAACACTACAATGCATATGCTTCACAGCTTGGGTTTTCAATCAAGATGAACACATCAAGGAGGTCTATTGATACTGGTGTGTTGATAAAGCAGCAGTTTGTTTGCAACAAGTTTTGGAAACCTAAAATTGATGATGGAGGAGTAGAAAGTATTCCTGCCCTAGACGAGATTGTTGAACAAGAACATGAAGCAACACAAGATGAAGAAATTGTCTTTATTGGTGATGAGAATAAAAAAAGAAGAAAAGCAAGAAGCGGAAGCGAGATACAATAGTGCAGACAGGATGCAAAGCGAAGATGGTGGTCAAGATATTAGATAGTCATTGGGAGGTGATTTACTTTGTTGCTGAATACAATCATGCATTGGTTGACAGACCATCTTTGATTAAGTACCTGCGATCACATCAAGGGATCCCCGCAGAAGAAAGGGTCTTCCTTACACACCTCCGCAATTGCAATATACCTACAGGTTTGTGAAAACAATACTGCACTTGCCTTGGTTTATTGCGTTAGTTGCTTAACCCCTATATAGACTTTTGCCTAGAAAAAAAATTCCAATAAGCAAAATTTTGCTTTCCCTCTTGTACTTCCCTAGATTTAGTGTGTTAGTTGCTCAAAACCTAGCAACTTTTGCCTAAACTTGCCTGTACTTACATCTGTTTAGTTGTGTTAGTTGCTTAAACACTATCAACAAAAGTGATTGCCTTGTGTTTAGTGTGTTAGTTGCTCCTGAGTTTTGAACACAAGCACTGATTTGCCTACATCTGATGTGTTAGTTGCTTGCATTCTAAGTTGGAAAAGAAAAAATTAAAAATGCTTCTAACATCCTTGTGTTAATGCCCCCCGACAGGTCGAATGATGCACATCATGTCAGATTACTATGGTACGGAGCTAATTGTCCCTTATGGTACTAAGCATAATTTAAACCTAACGTCGGAGTTGAACAAGAATGCGATGAAGGAAGGTGATATGAATGAGACAGTTGCCTAATTTAAAGATCATCACAAAGAAGATCCAGATTTCTTTGACAAGATTAAGTATGATTAGGAGGACAGGGTTGAGAATGTTTTCTGGGTCGACGCTGCAACAAGGAGGGCTTACGTAGAGGCATACCACGACTGTATCTCATTTGACACCACATACATGACTAATATGTATAACATGCCCTTTGCACCATTCATTGGAATTAATCGACATGGGCAGCCATTCATGTTGTGGTGCGGTTTTTTGAGGCAAGAGTTGGCTACAAGCTTTGATTGGCTATTTGGGACCTTTCTTGAGGCAATGCATGGTTTAGCACCAACAAACATCATTACTGACCAGGACATTGCAATGGCACAGTCGATTAAAAGGATGTTCCCAAAAACTATCCACCGCTGTTGTCGTTCGCATATAATGAAAAAGGCTCAAGAAAAGCTTGGCGCCTTGTTGGGCCGAAACCCTGGATTGTCAAAAGATTTCAACAGTTGCATTGACTTCAGCTTGACGCCAGAGGAGTTTGAGGCGGCATGGGTTTATCTGATGTTGAAGTATGAGGTTATGACTCATACACACTTTGAGACTCTGTATAAATATAGGGAAACATGGGTTCCTTGCTACTTCAAACACCAATTGTTTCCCTTCTTGCAGTCGACCCAACGCAGTGAGGGATTCAATGCTGTCCTCAAGCGATATGTGAACCCACACAATTCCATCCTCAATTTCGTCAAGCAATATTCAAAAATACATACTCACATACTTGTCTGAGAAGGTGGAAAAGACTATCGAACAGAGCATCTGGCGACTGAAATGTGGTCGTCTTTTCCTATTGAGAAACAAGCCTATGACACATACACTAGTGGCTTGTATGAGAAGTTTCGCACGGAGTTCAAGCTGATTGGGAGATACAATGTACGACCCCATGGAAGTCACATGTACGAGATTTACCCCAATGAAACACAAACGTGGGTTGCTAAATATGGTTCTAGGAGTTATTTTGTGACATTAGACACTAGTGCTGGAGACTACACATGTGAGTGCTGCAAAATGGACAGGGACGGCATACTTTGCTGCCATGTCGGGGGGATGAACCCCGGGCAGGCAACGGAACCTGGATCCTTTTCAAAAATAGCAGGGCCCGCATCGCCCCTCGAACCGGCACATGCCTGGCCGGGTCGCTCGACCCGGCAAGGCCCGCGACCCGGCCAAGCTCTCCGACCCGGCAAGGTACGTCGACCCGGCCTCAGCAACTGGCATGAGACAACCCAACCCGGCGCAACCAAAGCTTCCCCAACAAGCCGACCCCACCCGTGGCGTGCACCGCAATCCAGCCACGGGTAAGCTCCCATCCCATCTAGGTCGTACGATGGGACGAGACTCCAATCATCGATGACCAAGACAACAGTGCTTTCGCCCATACCTATGGTCAGCCGGAGCGTGGAAACAGTGCCCCTCACCTACCCGCTGACCAGGGCTGGCATGGAAACAGTGCTCCCTCCCTCACCGCTGACGACAGCAAGCGGCAACCTGATGGGAAGCCACTGTACACGACTCGACTCGGCCAT